CCTCTTTGTACACATTTCTTTAATATTTTAATGAATCAGTTTTTGTTATTCATAAAAATAATGAGGGTTGTTTCATGGCTTTAGAGTGGACAGGCAAGAACAGGTGGTGTAGCATTTGCAATTTGTAGATGATACCTTGATTTTAGGGGAGTTTTGGGGCTTTTAGGATGTGCGAGTTTTGAGGTGAGTCCTGGAGTTAGTAGATAAGGTATTTGGGTTGAAAGTCAATCAAGCCAAGTGCAATTTGGTGGGGATTAATTTGGAGAGTTGTGAGGTGGAGGAATGTGCGGTTATTCTGGGTTGTGATACTAGGGAGTGCCTTCTAAAATATTTAGAAGCTTTTTGGGGGGGATCCTAAGGATTTAGCCTTTTGGGGGGAATCCTAAGGATTTGGCCTTTTGGGATGGAGCTATTGAGAGATTTGTAAAAAAGGCTAGCTTCTTGGAAAAAAATTACATTTCAAAAGGGGGAAGGCTGACCTTGATTAAATCTACCTTGTCTAGTCTTCCAATTTTCTTTTTCTTTTTAGTTTTTCAGGCCCCAAAGAAAGTAGTGCAAAAGTTGGAGAAGTTAATTAGATAAGCTGGGGGTTTTGGGGATAGGAAGGTTGATGGGGAAAAAGATGGCTTTGTTATGTAAATGGTTGTGGAGATTCTCAAAGGAGAGGGATTAATACTTGTTAGTTACTACAAAGAAAAAGACCCAATTGGTTCCTTTCCCCTCACTGGTGCTCCCTTTGTAAAGTTAATGGTGAGAATTGCCATCACTTATTAATTTCCTACCTTTTTTCTTCTTCAAATTGGGAATGGTTCTTTTCTTTGTATAGATGCAGGTGGAACCCTCCTAGTGTACAAAGTCTATTCGCTTCCAATTTCCTAAGCTGGTCAAAGAAGAGGGGAAGAATATTGTGGCGATGTACAAGTGCTGCGGTGTGTTGGACAATTTGGGAGGAGAGGAATCAAGGACTCCTCCATGAAAAAACAAGAAGTGAAGAAGCTGTCATCGAAGCTATCACCATAAAGGTAGTCCATTAGGTAAAGTCATTGGAGATTTTTAGAGACGTTTCCGGCATTGAGGTGATGAGAAAGTGGAGGGAGGTGTTTGATTGTTCTCCAATTAAGGAGGTGGTTAAGCCTTTGTGGTCCCCACCCTCTAGTGGTTTCATTAAACTTTGATGGTAGCAGTGAAGGTAATCCAGGCCCTTCTGGTATAGGAGGAGTTTTTAGGAATGAAGAAGGAAACATCATTTCACTATTCTCAGGCCCAATTGGTGAAGGGGATTCCTTAAGAGCTGAAATTGTGGCTGTTATGGAAGAGATTCAGAAGGCTAAAGACCTGAATATCAGGGAGTTGGTAATAGACAGTGATTCGAAGCTTGCAATTAGTTGCCTCCGAAAAAAAGGAGGAAGAGGGATGGTGGTGCTGCATTCATGAGAAGAGGAAAGCTGTTGAATTGCTGCAAGGAGTAGAGGTGTCTTGTAATTGGGTCAAAGAGAAGCAAATTCTGCAACTCATACACTTGCTAAACAAAGGGTGGCAAGGAATAATTTATTTTGGGCTGTACTGTAATCTTTCTCCCTTTTTGTACTAAATTTCTTATTTTAATAGAATTGGTTCTGTTATTGATAAAAAAAGAAATTCTCAAAGGAGAGGGAGGTTTTGTGGCATTCAGTAATCGAAAGTATTCATGGTTTGCACTCCAATGGTTGGGAATCTGGGTTGTGTAGAAGAGCTAATGCTAGAAGCCTGTGGAAAGCAATTCTGTCTTTACTTCCAACTTTTTTTACAACAAATAAGATTTGATGTCATTTCAGGACAAGGGGTAAAATTTTGGGAGGATACTTGGTGGGGGGGGGGGGGTTCTCCTGTTTGCCATTCGCTCCCAAGAATGTACAAATTGTCAAATTTAAAAAACAGAACCATTGTGGTTGCAGGTGGACTCCTCCACCAGATATACGAAGCTTGTTTGCCACTTCTTTCCTTAGATGGCCTAAGAAAAGGAGTAGGGTTATGCGGAGGTGTGTGAAGGCTGCCATTTGTTGGACTATATGGGAAGATAGAAACTCTAGGACCTTGTTTGATAAGGAAAGGAAAAAAGAAGGTATCATTGAGGTAATAATGGTTAGGGTGGTGCATTGGCTGAAGTCTATGGATATGTTGGCTGATATCTCTATAGGTATGCTGCTGAATAGCTGGTTGGAAGTGGCAAATTTTGCTCCTTTTTCATCAGTTGCCTCTCCCTTGTGGTCTCCACCAGGCCCAAGGTGTGTAAAATTAAATTTTGATGGTAGTAGTGAAGGTAGTCGTAGGCTCTCAGGTGTTGGTGGGGTATTCAGAGATGAGAATGGAAAGGTGATTTGTTTTCAGGCCCCATTGGGAATGGTGACTCTCTCAGAGCTGAGATATGTGCCTTAATGGAAGGTTTAAGAAAGACAAAGGAGCTGAGTATTCATAGACTAATTGTTGAAGGAGACTAAAAGCTGGTTACAGAAGGACAATGAACTGTGGAAATATGCAAATGAGAGAAGAGACGCTATATGGCTAAATAGGGGGTTGGAGGTTCAGTTTCAATGGGTGAAGAGGACTGCAAATGCTTTTGCAGATACATTGGCGAAACAAGGGGTGGGAAGGGAACAGATGTTTTGGCTGTATTGTAATCTCCTTTTCTGTTTTCTTCTTCGGGAGAGTAAAGCCTCTTTACCTCTTCTCAGATTGTTGTAATTTTATTGTCCATTAATAAATTGATTTCTGTTATTCATCAAAAAAAAAAAAAAGAACCTTTGCTGATATGTGTTCTTTTAATGAATCTGGTTCAGTTGGAACTTGGGTTTAAGGAGACTGTTAAGAGACTTTGGAACAATTGAGCTGATTCCTTTGATCAACTTCAAGACCTTGTCCTATCCTCTTCGGGGGTTGATGAGAGGGCTTGGGTCCCATCTACTAAAGGCAACTTCACTTGTTCTCACTTTCTAAGGTCCTTGTGAACCAAGATGAAAATCTGTCCTTCCCTGCTAAAGAATTGTGGTCCAGTCTAATTCCCCCTAAAATAAAGGTTTTTTTTTTTTTTTGTTGGGAGGCTGCTAAGCAGATTTTGAACACCTGTGATAGACTCCAAAGTAAGTGTGAAAATTGGTTCCTTTCTCCTCATGTTTGTGTCCTTTGCTGGAAGAATGGGGAGAGTTTCAACATATTTTTTTGCACTGCCCCCATGCTTCAAAGATTTGGCATCATTTTTGCTCTTTGATGGGAGAAGTGTGGGCACCTTCTAATGTGGTGGACCTGTTTAAGCCACGTTTTTTGAGATGCTCTACACAACGAAAACTTGGTGGCAGTGTGTGAGAGGGGCAGTGCTTTAGGGTTTGTAGTGTGAAAGGAATGTCAAATCTTTGAAGAAAAATAAAAGGAAGTGGAGGAGATAATTGAACTTACAACTGTAAGGGCTGCTCACTCGGCTCAGATCAATAAAGATTTTATTGGGATAAAGCTGAATGATATGCTAAGAGGTTGGAACTTTATTGTGGATTTTAACAACAGGGTACAACAAGAAAGGGTGGTGGATTGGTGCCCACAGCCCCACCTGGAGAAGGAAGCTACAAATTAAACTTTGATGGGTGCTGTCTTGGAAATCCTGGGACTTCTGGAGTGGGAGGAGTGGTTAGGGACTCTGGTTGTAATGTAATTCTCAGCTACTCAGGACTGGCTGGTTTTGTAATCTCCTCAAGGGCAGAACTGTTAGTTTTAGTGCAAGGCATTAAACTGGTAGATTAGCAGGGTTTTACGAATATAATAGTTGAAGGGGATTGCCAAACTGTCATTAGATGGATGAATTCTCCGGATCAAGTTCCTTGGCAATTTAGAATCCTGGTGAGATTGGCTCTTTCCTTGGGTACCAGATTGAACATCTCATTCATTTGGGTACACAGGAGTGCAAATATGTTAGCTGATTTTTGGCTAGGTTGGGGGTAGGAAAGGTTTGTTAGGATTAGGGTTGCCCAGGACTGGGCTGTAACTTATAAGTTTTCTCCCATCTTTTTTGTTGGTTATCTTTGCTGTATTTTTTTGGGATGTAGAGGATGTGTTGTACTTGGCCCACTCACTATGTCAAGCTGGCTGGTTTTCTCTCTCCATTAATGATGTTTATATTTGATGCTTATAAAAAAATTCTGGTGTGTTCATATTTTATTGGGGGCATTCGTTCACGGTCACAACAGATGTGAGTTCCTTCATAATATCAAAAAGAAAAGGGCAGGAGTAGAGTACTTGCAGCCCTTGTATAGTTAGATAGAAGATTGTCTTTTTTTTTTCATTACAGTAATGCCATCTTATAACCTATTGATAAAACATAAAAATGTGGGATCAATTGATCAAATTAGTGATGTGACTGTGATACCATCAGACTAACTTGTGATAAAAAAAATAATTTGAATGACGAAAAAGGAGAGAGAAAAGGCAAGTTGTTTATTTTGTATTAACAATCAAACTAAACAATTTCCCTTGCATTTTGTAATCTTTAAAGAATGTAACTACATAATTTAGTTCACTTCGTATATATCCCACATCTTCAGGATAATAACTTTGGAAAATCTCTTTGTTACTGAATTTCTTTAGGTGCTTAATGTTATCTCAGTCTATGAATAACGTTGGCTAAAGATTATAGAACTGTTCTGTTTTGGAGAGGATACCTAGTTGTGAATTGTGATCTACTTAATCTATTATTCTGGTCCTTATTTTGTGTTATTTGAAACTATAGTAACTTGCATATTAGTCATTTCTCCAACTCCTTGGGAAAGTATATATATTGTTTGATGGGTTTTCTTGAATCCAATTTCAGATAATTATGTTTTATTGCTTCATGCATTAGGAAAGTTAGAAGTCCCATGTTTTCAACTATAGTTCAGTAGAATTTGAAAATTCTTCCATTGCCATTTCTAACTGTGGGATGTGATCTGTCATCAGTACAATTGTTATGCTGGCTGATTTTCTCTTTTGCTATTGTGTAGATTGATTTCTGATGCACTCATGTGGCAATAGTTACCTCATATATTCTTTATTGGGCAGCTACTATCTCGAGAGCATTGAAAAATTTATTGAACTATAATCTTGAAGCACTTTTTGGTAGGATGGCATTTTCAAAAGGCAGAATTGAGTTATTTAAGAAAAGGGCATTCTCTCAAAATTGAGGCGAATTGAAGGCAATCTTTCTGATGGTTAAATGGTACTAAGAAAGCAGATTGGGATTGTTGTACATCCTTCAGTGCTTATTAACTGAAACAAACTTCAGGGCATGCGGTTCCCAAGGATCTTTTCAATGGCATGGAGGGAAGTTCTATATTCTATGTTTTTCCTTGTCAGTCTGGCTGAGTCTTCTAGTCGATCGGCAAAACTGTGGTCACTTAACTTGGGGACTGAGTCAAACACATCGTACAGCTGGCCAATCCTCAGTGCAGCTATTTTTGTAGTTGTCGCACTTGCACTTTCCTTGTTTCTCATATTTGAACATATAGCTGCATACAATCAGCCTGAGGTTATCCTTGTATTCCTTTTAGATTAGAAGTTTTGTTCCATTTTGTGGTTTCATATGGTCACCAATGAAATATTGTGCATTTTGTATGAAGCCTTGCTATTAGATTTGCATATTTTATTTATGCCATCCTTCAAGATCTATAATAACATAATTACTATTTTATTTCAGGAACAAAAGTTTTTAATTGGACTCGTTTTGATGGTTCCCGTTTATGCTTTGGAATCAGTAAGCTCTATACTACTCTTTTTCATGCTCTTGGTTTTTTGCTTTCAATTTTTTTAACTTCTAACCATAGGATAATCAATCTAGAAGTTATTTTTTTTATTATTCTTTGCATCATGGTACATGATTGGGTGATTTAAACTTGTAAACAAATTGCATTTAGACATTTTTATTTGGTGAGAAAGTGTTATTAAGGATGCAATGGCTCTACTAGGTAAAGATTGATAAAGAATGTACACATATACACTCTATAATTCAACATTGAAAAACATATCATCCTCAATATGGTAGACTTGTTCACTAATTGTATCATTATATAGGGGTTGCTCCTAGAGGATAAGGTTTATTTATAGTTACCAGATGATGGTTTGTAGTTTTTTTTTTAATTTTTTTTATCGATAACAGAAACTTTTATTAAGAAGAATAGAAAAGAGAAAGTTACAACAGGGAGGAGTAAAATCACTTAGCCCTCCCTAAAATTAGAAAACAAATTACAGCAATGCCCAAAAGAGATTAGCTCTTCCCACCCCTTGTTTGGCCAAGGAATCTGCCATAGAATTAGCACTCCTCTTGGACCACTGAAACTGAATTTCCATTTTCCGAGTTAGCTGGTTAATTTTCTTTTACTCATTTAAAACTTCCACAGACTGAAGTCTTCCTTCTGCAGTCAACTAACAACCAACCTAGAGTCGCCTTCCACCAGCAGTTTTTTAATATTCAGCTGCTGGGCTCTTTTAATGCCTTCCAAAATTGCCAAAATTTCAGCTCTCAGAGAATCTCCCAACCTATACTGAAAACATTGCAATAATTCGACCTTCTTCATCCCTGAACAGTCCACCTATACCTGAAGGGCTTGGGTTTCCTTCATTGCTGCCATCAAAGTTCAACTTAATGAACCACATAGTTGGAGGAGTCCAAGCTGGAATAGGGGAAGTATTCAAGGGATCAGACCATGTCACTTCTTTCCAATTTCTAATGATATCTCCTGCTCAGTAACCTTCAAAGAGCTTCGTAGTCTTGACCCAATGTACCACCCTCACAGAGATTAATTCAACGATGGCTTTCTTGTTTCTTTTTTTTTCTTGGAAAGTTCTTTGATTTCTTTCCTCCCACACCGTCCAACATACAGCTAACACATCCCTACAAAATTTTACCTCTCTTTTTTAGACCCTTCACTGAAATAGAGTTAAACAAGCTTTGCACATTTGGAGGGGAGGGCCACTTGCAACCAAAAAGAGAGAAAAACCAACACCAGATTTCTGATACAAAAGGATAGGAAACTAATATGTGAAAGCAACTCTTGCCATTCTCCTTACATAGGATGCACCAATGTGGGGATAAACACCAATTAGGCCATTTCTTTTGAAGTAAGTCACAAGTGTTACATTTTTCAAGGATAGCTTCCCAGCAGAAAGCACCTACTCTGGGAGGAATTGATAATGATAGTGATAATGCATGAACATTACATCACTATATCGTGTTTTCTATTCTTGCTTTTTTATGTTCACTCGATTCATGTATGCTATGTTTAGTTTCTATAATGTGTAAGGTCCATAGATTGTTCAAGTCATCTCCTGACAACTATTTTGCATTGGTTCAAGTATATGTACTGGGTACAATTAAATATATCTTTCTAGCCCTTTTTTTTCATTTTTGTTCTTTGATTTATAATGAGAGGAGGAATGAGGAATAAGATAGTTTTTCTTAAGTTAAAATAAATAACCAATGTTTTAAAATGCATAGCCATGACACGTGGCATTCCATTACCCAAAGGTGTGAGGCGGGGTTCAGAATGCAGGAGGTGTAAGCCTCCCAAATATGTAATTTTGCAATTATAGTTGGAATTTCTATAATAAAACATCATATTCAAATAAAATATAGAATGCTATTTTATGTAATGATAAAGCATGCATAGATAGACCCTTTTAGGTTATTCTCTTGTTCTAAATCATCAAAAGTAACCGACCCAAGAAAAAAATGCTATAGTGCTGTCCTGTAAATTTTAAGAGTCAAAACTACATAATAAATGATAGAGAGAAGCAAAAATTAAACTAATAGAGGCTGCAAATGGTTCTATTGTCAAGATTTGTTGCTCCCCCAATACATCCCGTGGGTCTTAATTGGGACTTTGGTTTCCGTAGAGGGCTTAGGGATAACGAACTTTTTTCTTGTATGGATCTTTTAACTCCTTCGGGATGTCTGTTTGGACCCTAGTAAACCTGATAAGTGTATTTGGGCCCCCAACCCTAAGGCTTTGTTTTCCTGTGCTTCTTTGTCCAAGACTTTTTGTGACTTTCTAGTTTCTTCCTTTCCCTTTAAGAGTTTTGGTGTAGACCCATCCCACCCAGAGTAAGAGCCTTTTGTTGGGAAGTAATTCATGGGAAGATAAATACCATGGACTTGCTACAGAAGAGGAGACCTAAGTCCTATCTTTTCACTATTTGGCGTGTCTTATGCAAATCCAGTAATTAGAGTTGTCTTCATTTACTGATTTCTTGCTCCTTTGTTGTGGATATTTGGCTTTGGTTTTTTTCTTTGTTTGGATGCAGGTGTACTTTACCAATGGAGGTTAATATGTTATTTGATCCCTCCTTGTTTACTTGGCTGAAGAGGAGAGGGAGTATAATGTGGAGATGTGTCAGAGTACCCTTGATTTGGACCATCTAGGAAGAGAGGAATGCAAGAATATTCTTAGAGAAGAAGATAAGCAAGGAAGAAATCAGAACTTGTGTCATGGTTAGTGTGATCCATTTATAATATTTGGAGGAATTGAGAAGCAGTTGCTACAAGCTCTAAAAGAAAGGACAGAGTGGAGGTTGTCTAGGTACCTCCGTTTGAAGGTTTTGTAAAACTGAACTTTGATGGGAGCAGCTGAGGTAATCCAGGCCCTTCTGGAATAGGAGGGGTTTTGAGAGATGGAGAAGGTAAAAGTACAACACTTTTTTTTTTCCTGGCCTGATGGGTATGGGTGACTCCCTCAAAGCGGAACTGCTTGCTGTAATTCAAGGGGTGCAGATAGTTAGAGAGCTAAATTTGACAAATGTGGTAATTGAAGGGGATTCAAAAGTGGTGATAGAATCACTAAAGAATCCAAAGTCTATAATCTGGTGCTGCTGGAATGAATTGAAAAAAAATAACGTGGCTAACCAGGAATATGAATTTGAGGATTCAATGGGTGAGGAGATCAGAAAATGGAATGGTGGATGCTTTGCCAGTGCAAATGTATTGGCAGATGGTCTAGCTAGGCAAGGGGTGAACAGAAATTCTATCTTTTGGGCTGTTTTGTAATTGTTTCATGGTTAGGGATACATTGGGTAGTAGGGAGTTAAGATTCTTTAGCTCCTTGCCTTGTAACTGTGATTTTCTTAATTATTAATAAAATTCATTGTTATTGATAAAAAAAAGAAAAATGTCTTTCTTTTTGTAAGAGAGGTAGCAGCTCGTGCCTCTCTATTAAAGTTTATTAATAAAACTCAAGTTATTTATAAAAGAATGGTTCTAATAAATCAACCAAATAATTTATTGTACAAAAAATGCTAACAACCCACAACCCTTGTCACCTAGCCTCACCTTGATGCCTTGAAAAGCATGCCTCTAGGGTCTATTCCTTTTACTTTGACATGATCAAGAAAATACAAATATAGCTTAACATGTGGAGCATGAGTTTGCATGGAACAATACTTTCTTTTGACCTTTGAATCAAACACAACATGCTATCAATCAAATGAAAACCAAAATCACTTAGTGAGTACTTGTCTGGGTAATTTGGTTTCGATGTGTTCACATGGCCACAACATTTACTTGCGACCCTCTAATAAAATAGAAACATGCTATTAATCAAATGAAAAACCAAATTATCCAGTACCGCATCCTATTGTTGTTACCCACTTATCCCAAATGACACACTAACAACCTGCTAACATATGAAAAAATATTGATTGCCTCTACGGTTTGCTACCTTAGTATGACAATTTAGAAATACTAGGGTAGCCTAACACGTTGGAAGATGAGTTCACATGACCACAACACTTTCATGTAATCCTCCAATGAAACATAAGAATGCTATCAATCAAATTAGCTACCAAATCACCCAATGAGTGCATGCTTGGGTGATTTGGTTTCGATGAGTTCACATGGTCACAACACTTTCTTGCAACCCTACAATAAAACACAGACATGCTAACAATCAAATGAAAAATCAAATCATCCAATGAGTGCATGCCTTGTTCCTACCCTAAAGGATACAAAAATGACCCACTAACATAAGAAAAAATAGAAACTACCTCTAAGGTCTTCTACCTTCTCATGACAATCAAGAAATGCCAAGGTAGCCTAACATATGTTGTGATGTGTTCACAAGGTCACAATACTTTCTTGTGGCCTTCCAATAAAATACTAACATGCTATAATTCACTCTACCAAAAAAAATGCTATAAATCAAAAGAAAAACCAAATCATCCAGTGAGTGCATGCTTGGGTGATTTGATTTTGATGAGTTCATGTGGTCACAACACTTTCCTGTGGCCCTCCAATAAGTTATGGACATGTTAATAATCAAATTTAAAACCAAACCACCTTGCTAATGCAAGCATAGGACAAAAGTACAATCTTTGACGGAAGCTCCTTAGGCAAACTGGGTATGGCAGGAATAGGTGGGGCAATCAGAAATTCGGAGGGCAGGTTATTGGCTCTTTATTTAGTGTCAATTGGTGTGGCTAATTTTGTGAAGGATGAGTTGTTGGCTTTGACTATACATGGTCTCCGGTTAGCAAAGCAATTAGGGTTCATACAGTTAGAGGTGCAAGGGGACTCAAAAGTAATTATCTCATGGGCAAGATGTAATAGAAATATTCCTTGGACTCTCAAAAATGTATACATGGAAGCTGAAAGGATTGCAAGAGATTTAGATGATGAATTCTAGTGGGTAAGGAGTGCAAATGGGCTAGTTGACTCCCTTGTGAACAAGGGGCATCAAAGCAGCAATTGTTTTAGGCTTTTCTATG